ATGCAATCCTTATTAATATGATCAAAACAATGACTGTTAAAATATAGTTATGTGGCCTAAGATTACTATTTCACTCTTTTTTCAAATTCAAAATAAAAAAAAATGCTTTACATCAACTCAATCATTTAAACCAGCATATTGTAATGATTTGTCAATGATCACTAGGGATGTCCCGATCCGATATTGATATCGGAAATTCGTCCGATATCAGTCCAAAAAAACTATATCAGACTGCGTTAAAAATCTCCGATTTAAACAGTCCGATACTCTCTAAACTCCATTACAGCTATTCTATCCAGCAGCATCCAGAGCCAGCGTGCAAAGCCCACGTGATCACAACACTGCTTGCTAGCAAAGTCTCTAAGATTTAACGTGGTCTTGATCACAACACTGAAAATAAGAAAAGTCATACAAAAATTCTGCTTTTCAATGACAAGAATATATTGTATTTAAAACGTTTTACAGAATGAAAACACTTATTTGAAAACATACAAATATTTCAGCTTTTTTGATCAAATCAATGCTTGATGAGACTTTAACCCCACCAAAAAATCCTACAATTGTATCCAAAAGCACAATACAAAAATCCCTACTTAGTATTTCAATATTTTCCCAGAGATGAGTTGTGGCTGGAAGGGCATCCTCTGCGTAAAAATGTGCTGGTTAAGTTGGCGGCTCATTCCACTGTGGCGACCCCGGATTAATACAGGGACTAAGCCGAAAAGAAAATGAATGAATAAATGAATGAGTATTCCAATATACAATCACCGCCCACTGTCCAACTGCTCTATAAAGCAAGGATTAAAGCAGTTCTGAAGGCACTAGTGAGGTGTACTTAATTAAGTGGCCGGTGAGTGTATGTAAATACACAATCAATGTCATTACCATTACATGGACAACCTTGAGCAGAACAATTTTTTTTTGGAATCTCTCCCTTTGTGATCCTAAAAAAGAAAGAAGGGCACACAGAAGTAGAACACTACCAATGTGAGTAAATGATGACTCAAATGTCTTTTTTAGGTGAACTGTATCCTCAAAAGCAGCCACAACTATAGCTTTCTAAAAACACTAGCATTGCACAGTTCTGCCATCAGATCAGCACATTGATCTCAACGGGCTGGTCTACCAAACAGGAAACCCCAAACTAGAAAACTGGCCTTTAAAACTGAAGTCGAGAACGAGAAAGAGATGAAAATACAGCTTGGAAGACGAGCAGAGGAGCACAAAAATAAAGAGATTATTCCACAGCAGAAAGCAGCCCAACCGCAAGTGCTAATAAACAAAGAAACAACCCGTCACTATAGCGAGACGGTTACATCACCAAAATCTATATTTCCAATTCGAGTTTAGTCACAGCATCTGAACCGCAGAGAGACTGTGTGTGATGGTGACAATGGTATTGATCATTCAAACACACTCTTTAATGTGGGAACAAACCCCTTCGTGCATCAACAAATATGTCAATATCCATCCAAGCCATGATTATTCACTGGGAGCCAAACAGCATGCTTATTTTAGGTGTTTTCTACAATATGGTTATCATTTGTGTTTCTCGCCTATGTAAAATAAGACTTTATTAATTTATATAACTGACTAATTATTTTGCATGTTCTATATACATCTTTATTTGCATTTAAGGCCTGTTTTTGTTCTGCTTCCCATTACAACATCAGCAAAATTGCACATTTGCATGAAAAAATAGAAGTAAAAGCTAGAAGCAAATTGCATTTTTTAGATGTTTTTTTAGATTCTCGCTTGCATACCTTTAATGCAGAATTTAAGTTAACACAATTAACCCTTTGTCACGTGGGATGTTTTTCAGTGTGTATATATATATATATATATATATATATATATATATATATATATATATATATAGAAACTTTTTTTTTTTTTCATTTTTTCATTTTTTCAAAAACTAATTTTAGGGGTTTTTCACCTTAACCAGTTTAACTCTGCTGTTATTTTGGGATTTCGGCCTGGATTTTGCCTACCCAAATTTAACAAGCTTCCCAAACAGAACATTTTAGGTTCTGTGTGGTCTAGCGTGCTGTAATTAATTTTGGTGTTTCCTGCACATATCTGTAATCATAGGAAAAAAGAAAAATGTCTCTACCATAAATCTATGCGAAAGTTTTTGTTTTCTAACTGATGAGAGGTGCTATACAAGCCACAAGGACCGATCATTGTTTTCTTATTTCACTATTCTTTGGTTTGATCAAACATAATTCACTGTGTTTGGACCACGTTAGACATATAAAAGGAATACTTATGCACATCACCTCAAAAACAGAGGTGAAATGGCCCTGAATCACATAGCATAAGGTAAGAGATGACAGCTGTCTGTGCTATCTGGGGCTGCTTATTGATCATAAATGTATTGTTTTCACTTCTGCGGAAACACCTCGATTCTTTCAGCAACTGTTTGATATGTGAATATAATTTAGTAAAAAGAATGCTATAGTACCGGCAAGAGCTTTTATTTGAGCTATAACTTGTACATTTGTCATATGAAAAATATGAAAATAAGCCAATGTAAAAGCTGGGATATCTAAAATACTGTGTATTTAAGTGTAAATAACTTTTATACAGTAGAATGAAAACCAAAGTGATGCATATGTGCATATGTGCAAATATGGATTCTACACTTTCAAACGAAACCACTTACAAAATGTGAGGTGATAGCTTAATTAGGTTAGATTAACTTTAACCAAGTATTTCCTGATGGCATAATTACACTCTAAAAAGTTAAGTTATTCATTTAACCCAATGGTTGAGTTAAAAATGTTTGTGCTTCGGTGGGTTATTTTTAACCTTTTGAATTTCAAGAGGCAACCAAAGACTATAGAATACACAAGACTTGTCCCTCATATAGTTTTGAATAGGGAAAACTGTACTGGTCAATATGGTGAATGAAGCCCCGCCTACTAGTACAGGAGCCAATCATCGATCGTTATAGACTGATGCAGAAGCTCGGACCAGACGTGTGCTTTTACGACAACTTTTTGTGGTCAACAAACACACTGGAATCTCAGCAAATACTTTCTTCACAGACATAAGAATTATATCCACATAAAGCTTGAAATCTCTACTTTTAAATAAAACACTAGTAAACTTGGAAAAAAAGCTTTTTGGTTTTGTATTGTAATATGTATGAAACGACCGTGAGGTATAGTCAGTCTTGTCAAACGCACATCACATGACAACAACTACTCAAACGCCCACAAACTTAAAGAGTCACTGTCATTTCTGGAGGAGATTCGCCATCAAGACTAAATTGTGAATTACTTTAATATGTAATGCAAAAATTATCTAGAGGATGATAATATGCAGAACGTCCATAAATAAGGTTGGTGTCGTTCCTTTCAAGTGCACATGCACATAAGCTTGGGCAATCTGAAAATGTTTGATTTGAACATTTAGAAATTATACTTATGTGACAGTTGTTGTTTAATTTTATTGCAGATTCCAAATATGTAATCGTAAGCTTGGCAAAGAGTTTAAGAGAATTTGATGTTTCCCCATTCAGACAGAATGCCCGAAAGGCGTTTTAAAGATGACCGCTAAGTGAAATGACTTAAAGGGGACTTAGAGTGAACTGTTTCAACTGAACACAGAACAGCTGTAATAATATGCGTGCATAATGTTGTTTTTGCTATATAAGGTTTATTTAAGCTCTAACACAATAATATTGTTGTTATTTTTTTAGCAAATTATACCTCTCTCCTTGTCGTGAATTTTATATCTGTTTCACCAACTCTATTATTATTGATGATACAAGTGCGCACTTCAACGATCTATATAAAATGGATAAAAGCGATTTCTCTACCTCCCGCGTTCATCTCTACAGTTTTTTGGGGTAAGTAATGCACATACTCGCTAACTGAAGCTACGTTGTAAAAAATGTAATGACAAAGAGTCAAGACAACAAATATTTTTATGTTGCTTCAACTTATTTTAATAAGTTAATCAGGTTTTAACAAACATTTATGTTTATAGTCAGTTTGAATGGTGTAAGTTGAGACGGCTAAAAAAGTTTATTTGATTCACCAAAACAATTAAGGCAGAATTACGTTTTTACAGTGTGAATGAAAACAAAACTAAAACTAAATTCCATGTTTGATAAAATGTGACTTGTAGACTCTGCAAATAATAATTTGAGAAATTTCTATCCATAGTTTCTATGAAAAAATTCTTTCAGCTCACTAAAAATTGTCATTTCTACTAGATATATACTTTTAATCTACTTTATCAGTTCATTATTTCACAATTCTGACTTCGGACTCACGCAATTGAGAAAAAAATGTCACTGATATAAAATAAATATCTATAAATGTGCATAAGTATCACAAAGGCACTATATCATGGCCACAATGCAATTGATAAATATGTAAACATCTTTTTCCCTCTACACTAAAAAATCCTTGCTGCTCGTTTAAAATACTCATTTAAAATGAGTTGAAACAACACAATTTTTGAGTTTTTTGGAGGTACAATAATTATTTCATTTTCAATTCACCTAAATTAGTAAAAAAAAAACATTATATATATATATATATATATATATATATAATGTATATATATATATATATATATATATATATATATATATATATAAAGTGAACTAAATCGATTTGTGTTGGGACAACATGAAAAAAAAATGTGTAGAACCCAGCATTTTTTACAATGTAATACACTGTAAAAAATACAGGGTCCCACGTCTCAATGTATTCATGTTGTCCCAACACCAATCAATTAAGTTCACTTAGATTTAAGTGGATTAATCATAAAACAATTAAGCTGTCTCCAAAAAAAACCTCAAGAATCGTGCTGCTTCAGCTCATTTTAGATAAGTAGTTTGAACGAGCAGCGAAATCATTTGTTTGAGTGCACATCAAATCACAAATCCACCACAACAATGACATCTTCTCTACCTGGAACAAGCGTCTATTTCCCAGAATTCCATTCTCGCAGGTGAGCAAAAGAATTTAGCAACTTACCGACAACCATGAGCGTGAACTCGAAGCCCCTCTTCACAGATTTCCTGTACACCTGGTTGGGGAGGTTGGCGAATCCAACATAACCCTCCAGATTCCTCTGCTGGAAGAAAAAACAGTCTTACTCCACATTCCTCTGATTAAAGAGCACAAACAGCACCCCCATTACCGTTATCCCTCTCAAAACAGGGCTCAAGAGGACTTCAGACGCAGGTCTGTGCTAATATTACCATTAATTACAGTGGATAACGTCAAGCTAACATGCAGGGTTTCCACAACAAAGGAGAACAAGCAATTGGACTAATTTGAGGATAAGCAAGCAGATCAGTGTAAAGCACATACAACACACTGAAAACTGCTACAGGTCCAATTTTGGCTACTAAGTAAATAACTAAAATTAAATTAAATGATTAAAATAATTTCCAAAAACTTAAACCGAATTGAGGAAAAAGCACTCGACTTTGGAAACCCAAAAGTCAATAGGGAAAAGGAAGGATTGCATGGGATTTCGCGAGAAACAGCCAGTTACATTTTGTATCAATTCCATCATGAGCTCTATATCATCATGCAGACAGTGAATTTCGCTCCAGATGACGGTCAGTGCTTTGTCCAGCTGTATGCTGTCCTTCTCCATCCCTTTCTCTGCATGGTTTTCCGTCTCTTGTAATCTCATGTTCTCGGAAGTCGAAGCACACGCTACGCGAGGCAAACACAATTGATCGCTTTACTTTAGTTCCGCGGAGCTTCTCATGCATGGTGGGCCAATGGAAAACGAAATAGTAGGGGACATTCTGATCACTTAGAGAGATGAATATGTAGAATGGGGAGGGCTAGATAACTTTTTGTGTGTGAATGAATGGCCATGATCATGTTTTTGTATTATAAACCATTACAACGGTACCATATTGGTAGCATATTGGGATAATGTGACGACATTGTGAAATCTTGTCATAAAAATGGAATTTACTGTGTATAACCCTGAATGTAAAACATTTATGTACACCTAAGTAATTTGTAATGCAAGCTAATTATTATATTATGGAAACACAAACTCACAGCATTTTCATAACATTGCGTCATAAAATATCAAAACATATTGTAAAACTCCAAAACCAAACTAAAAAGGGCTTAGGGGTAGCTTAATTAATGTGTCGGTGCTCTTTGGGTAAGGGATTCATCAGCAAAAATTCATCTAAGGCAGTTAAAAAAAAAAAGTGGAAACAATATTAAAAAGAATTAACTTTTTAATATTTTTTCCACATTTTTTGAGTGGTTTGAACACATTTTTTTCTGTTTATTCCAATTGTTAAGCTTTCTTAAACTTGTACATAAACTAAAATTGTACTGATTAAACCAGAAAACCTTTATTCAATCATTAAAATTAAATACCAAACATTAAAATGTAACAAATTCTTAAAAGAATTACACATTAAAATAATTTTTGGGACATTATCAATAAAGTTGTATAAACATTTAAATTACTTAAAAATATATATATATTTAAAAACATTTAACATTTTTACCCATTTTTCCACAAAATAACCAATTTAGTAACATGATTAAATATACGGTGGCCGAGAGAGCTTTACCTACTGCAATTTAAGAAAACGTGCAATTAAAAAACGGCAGCAAATTAAGAAAAGATCTCCATCAGTTTGACAGCTCACGAATCCTCACAACACATTTTTTAAAATTGCGCTGCATTTTCACACAACGCAAACAATTTATCAAAATGCACTGCATTTTCTTACAACACAACATAAAACGTTTCAAGGAGACCCAAAAATGTGATTCACTCGGCTATTTAGGCTATGGTTACTTAGACTAATAAATAATAAAAGCCAATGGAATCCGGATGTAAAAATACATAAACAAAAAAAACTCACCTTTTAATGATCAACCTCACTGATCAATAGTCACAACACAGTGGCATCGGTCTCGTTTATGGGCCCCCTCGAAACATTTCCGTTGTGTTCTGTTCTTTTTGTGTCGTGAAAAATTCAGTGTGTTTTCGTAAAATGTTTGCAATGTGAGAAAATGTTGCGCATTTCATTCATTTGTTTGGATTGTGGGAAAATGCAGTGCGTTTTTTATGTGTATGCATTTTTTTCTGCACATGTCCTGTTAAACAGATTTCTTAATGTGATGGCGTTTTTTGTAATTGCGTGTGTTTTCTTAAATTGCAGCACGTTAAGCTTTCTCGGCCATCGCATATATGTAATCTTTCACAAAATATCCATTTTAATAAATTGTTAAAATGCATTCATTGCTAAAATTCACATTTGTAAATGGCCAATATGGATAGATATTTGAATGATATTCAAAACCATTTAAATTAATTAAAAAGGTACTGTCGTTTACCTAATTTTCAGAAAATAGTTTTCATATTGGACTAAATTTGACTAGTACATCACTAAAATTCAACCATGAATTATTAATTACAGAATTTTTGATAGCATAGCATAGCCCTCGCTAATGCTGACACGCACCACTCAAATATTGTAACTACTCGTCACAACTACGCATATCGCTAATTCTGTGATTGGCCGGCTTGGTAGTGATGACGAGCATGGGCGATGCTGAGAGCCATAAGCCCGATGGAGCGAGTGTTTACAAGTGTCGAGTCAAGGAGCTTCAGATGGAGACTTTGTTTTGTGTTTACCTTATGATTAAAGTTGTAGCAGGTCTGCCGGTTCCCGCATCTGAATGATTAAATTTGAGCTACTTGTAGCATTCAGAAAAAAAAAACACACACACTAAGAAACTCGACACAAAGAACATAAAAACCTACTGCCAACCAGCTTTCGGTAATGTTATTGCAGACTGATCAACAAACAGCGTGCAAAAATATAGACACACAACTACACCAAGGCAGGCACCGTGGGTCATGCTGATCACTCGGTGTAGAAGTATAAACTAGACCTAAGTTTCATACAAATTCAATGCAAATGCCTGACTAAAGGCGAATTATTGATGTGCAGTGCAAATTACATGGTGTGTTTGCTGTGAACGTGTGGAATTTGCGTCAAATATTTGTCTTCCGAATTCAATAAAGTTGTGAAAATTTCTGTGAGGGGTAAAACATCCCATGAGTAAACAAGGGCAAGTGATTAAGTGCTCTGCATTTGGTGTGAACTAAGCATTAACCATGATTTTATTTTAATAATAATCTTTTCTTACTCTACTTACCATAGTTCAAACACTGTATTTAAATTAGGTAAACCCGCCATGCTATATTGTAACATGGTATCGTAATGTTGCCTAAATCTCAAAAAATTGATGTGCTTCACATTTCAATATTCATGTTTTCTTCCAAAAAATAAGCTTCTGAAATTAAAGAATTGCAATTAAGTGTCTGTATTCTCCTTAAAATAACTGTGGGAAGAAAGATCTAACAAAATCTAACAGAATTTTAAGCTAAAAAGATGGAAATGTGAGATGCAAACTCTGAATTGCAAAAAAATGAAAGGACAGTTTTTAGTATAGTAATGAAAAAAAGATAAAGAGTTATGAGTAACAAAATGGTAAGTTAAGAGAATCTATTATGTAAAGCTGTTACTATTGATGTAAAGCTGTTTTACAGTCACACATTCAGACTTTCTCCTTAATAATATAGTTACAGAAACGTTTTCTTTACAAATCCTAAATGTGGAAATCCTATTGGCAATTAATGGCCAACAAAGTACAACATTATTCAGTCAATTAAACAAAGCAAATGTTGTTTTGAAGTCATTTTTTACATGTAATTTCAGACTGAATATTCAAAGTTGCATGGTAAACAATGTATGGAGCGTGTTACAAATTGTCACTGAATAAATTTGTGAATATTAAACTAACTTTACTATCAAATACTAAGGTAAAGCTGCTTTTATATTCGCACATTCAGTCAGTGACAACTTGTGACATTCTCCCTATATTGTTTACCATGGTACTTTGAATGATCGGTTACATGCATTTGATTTGCGTCAACTTTTTTTTTTAGAGTTCAAATAAGTTGTGAAAACTTCTGTGAAGGGGAAAAACATCCCATGAGTAAACTAGAGCAAGTGACGATGTGCTCTGCGTTTGGTGTGAAAACAGCATTATAAAAATTAACCATGATTTTATTTTTAATAATAACCTTTTGTGCTCTATTTACCAGAGTTTAACCACTGTATCTAATTTAGTTAAACATGCCACGCTGTATTGTAACATGAGTTGTGTAGGCTAAATCTCCAAAATCAGAGTTTTACATCTCACAACTAATATTCTATTCCAAGAAATTGCCTTTTCAAATGACAGAATTGTAATTATGTCTATGTTCTCAATAAAATAACTGTGAGAAAAAAAAATCCAGGTTTAGAGAAAATAAATCAAATAAATTGGGAAAAATCAGGACAGCAAACTCAGAATTTGAAGGTAAAAACAACGGAAATATGAGACGGAAATATGTAAAGTTGTTTTTTTATTCACACATTCAGAGTTTTTTCTTAATACTTAAGTCACGAATATTCAAAGTAGCTTGGTAAACAATAAATGGACTGTGTCACAAGTTGTCACTGAATGATAAAACCAACTTTACCTCAATATGAGTACTACAGAACACTGGAAAGTATATTGAGGTAAATTTGGTTTTATATTCGCACATTCATTCAGTAATACATGACATGCTCCCCATAGTGTTTCCCACGCTACTTTGAATATTTAGTCTAAAATCAAATGCAATTATGATTTCAAAACAACATTAGCACTCTTTAATTGTCTGTTAACAATTTTGTACATTGATAGTTACTGGCTGGTAATATAATCTCCCATATTAGAATTAGCAAAAAACTCTTCTAATACTCTTCTGAAACGAAATTATCAAGGGAAAATACTGAATGAGGTAAAATAAAACTAGCTTTACCTCAATGTATCAAATAAATCGCTATCAGCGCAATTAAGAGAGTAAATAAATAATAGCTGGATACTTTTAAGCAGTACATGTGAAAGCGGCTTGCCACAACAGATGAATGATTAGCGGCCAGTCACACTTGGAATCATCTCGCCCACCACCATGCAAATACAAGAATCAATAAGCCTGGTGTGTATTAAATGCATTATCTCCCCAGATTTAGACAAATGAATGAATATTGTACTCACTGCAACGCTGGACACAGCTGAGTCGGGTCTCTCGATCATTGTCCTGTGACAACACCCACTCTGAATCCCAATAGATCAGGCATAAAAAGATGAGTCGACTCTAATAAAAAGCGGTCGAGAGCAGAAGACGAACCCTTACGGCGCACTCGGGCTTGGACTAAATTAATGGCTTTTTGGGGAAGGTAAACGTGCAGGGGACGAAAACAGGCATGCGAGCATCGGCCGGGGGAAAAATGTTACAACGCTGCGAGCATGAAAGGCGATTGTCCTCCTCCGGGAGAGATCTACTCCTATTGGACACCAAATGGATGGTTGTGGTGATGTCATGGAATCCCACCCACCCACTCATTTCATTGGCTGACGGGATACTACTATGAATTGTGGTATTTGTAGTTACAAGTAAAAGGATGCGATGGAGATATTTCTACTCATAATACAAATATTTTAGAAATGAGACATGTCAGTATGTAGATATAAAAAAATAGAAAAGAAAAATATTTTAAGTATATTTTTGATAACAGATTATAAGATAAATCATTTAAACTGTAATAAGCCTACATGTGCCCTCAAGTGGAATAATCAAATAGTAGCCTACTTGCAGTGATAAGGTAAAGTTAATTTATATTCACACAAATAAATGTAATATTCACACAGACTTTTTCCTTAATGAAATAATTTTATAAAAGTTTTCTTTGCAAATTCTAATAAGTGCATCATATTAGCAGCCAACGACTATCAAAATATAGGCTAATGTTCACAGTCAAATAAACACTGCTAATGTTGTTTTGAAGTCATTCTTACATGTGATTTCTGGCCGAATATTCAAAGTATTATTGTAAACAATATAGGGATAATGTCACAAGCATTTTTACAATCATTGGTTATAAGTTGTCACTGAACAAATGTGTGAATGTAAAACTAACTTTACCCCAACCTTTAACTTTTGCTATTTTGTTTATAATAATACCAAAGTCCTAATAATATTAGGCTATGTTTTATTATACTACATATTGTTTGTTAACCCTTTAACTGCACCACCAAGAAAAAAAATGTTTGCATTTAATTTAATTTCAAATATTTGCATTTTAACTACTAATGTCGCTAAACACACTCAATACATGTTTTAACACATACCATAATTTCTAAAATATCAACATCTTCCAAATAGTTAATATGTCGGTTTAAGTTAAAAGTACCGGAATTAATACATATTTGATATATTACACATTCCTTTAATCAGTTATGAAGTAGCCCACGTGTGCCCTCAAGTGGAATAATCAAATAGCACTTGCAGTGATGAGGTAAAGTTGGTTTTATATTCACACACTGTGACTTTCTCCTCAATATTATTATTTCATAAAAGTATTTTTTGCAAATTCTAATAAGTGCAATCACATTATCGGCCAATGTATATCAAAATGCATATTTACAGTCAATTAAATAGTGCTAATGTTGTTTTAAAGTTATACTTACATTGGATTTCAGAGTACCATATTCAAAGTACCATAGTAAACAATATAGGGAGCATGTCACAAAGCGTCACTGACGAATGTGTGAATGTAAAACCAAATTTATCCCAATCTTTCACTTTTGCTATTTTGTTTATAATAATAATAATAATAGGCCTAATATTATCCAATTTTTTTGAGTACATAATTGTTTATTACCCTTTTAACTGCCCCACCAAGAAAACTATTTTTGGAATTCGTTTCTTAACTCCTAATGCCACTAGTTAACACAATCCATGCATTTTTATTTCAACACATCAAATAATCTCTAAAAATCAACCTCTACCAAATGGTTAATACGTCAGTTTATGTTAAAAGTACCGGAATAAACACATATATTGTTGACAATCTGCATATATGATGTGTGAGACTAATTTATTTAAAAACATAATCAAAATAAAACATTTTTGAACACTAAGTCATCTTTATTTTTTAAATTATGCCATAAAATATTTCAGATTCTCATTTAACGTGTTTTCTTGAAACCAAATTTAAGTGTAGTAGTGCAACAGGATTATGTTTGTTTGATTTTATTGTACACTAACAATGCTGTGTAGTCATTCATTCATTAATTTTCTTGTCGGCTTAGTCCCTTTATTAATCCGGGGTCACCACAGCGGAATGAATCACCAACTTATCAAGCAAGTTTTTACGCAGCGGATGCCCTTCCAGCCGCAACCCATCTCTGGGAAACATTCACACACACACACACACTCATACACTATGGACAATTTAGCCTACCCAATTCACCTCTACCACATGTCTTTGTACTGTGGGGGAAACCGGAGCACCCGGAGGAAACCCACGTGAAGGCAGGGAGAACATGCAAACTCCACACAGAAACGCCAACTGAGTTGAGGATCAAACCAGCGACCCAGCGACCTTTTTGCTATGAGGCAACAGCACTACCTACTGTGCCACTGCCTCACCCGCTGTGTAGTACAAACCAGTATTTAAAAGTAATTCTTGACTATTATGAAATAAAATGACTTTCACATTCTATTTAACATTCTATTAATATTCTAATCACTATTTAAAACAATTAAAATATGGTCAACCATTTGGTAGAGCAAGCAGTTAATTACCTTGTTAATAAATATGTTTATACATAATGCTTTTTAGGAGGTTTACTTGAAAACAGCCCTGCAAATACTCTTTTGAATATTTGTATTAATTTATTTGAAGTATTGATTATATTATATGTGAAAAAAAACATTTCCTAAAAGGGCTTTCATAGTTTTAGAAACTACAAGACCCCCAAATATGCTCAAGAAACCCCAAACACTTAAAAGGCATCTAATTATTGAATAAAGACACTGTTTATACTTTCAAAGAATGACAATTAGGTCTAAAATATTAATTCACAGTGGCACAGTGGGTAATACGATCACCTTACAGCAAGAAGGTTGCTTTAAAAACATATGCTATAAGTAAATTGAATAAACTAAATTAGTGTAGGTGTGTGAATGCAAGAATGTATAGGTGTTTCCCAGTACAGGGTTGCAGCTGAAAGGGCATCGCTGTATAAAACATATGCTGGATATGTTGGCGGTTCATTCCGCTGTGGAATAAAGGTACAAAGGCAAAGGAAAATGAATAAATAAATTTAATTTGTTTACAGTTGCAGTCAGAATTATTAACCTCCCTGAATTATTAGCCCTGTTTATTTTTTCCCTATAATTTTAGTTTAACTGACACATTTGTAAACATGATTGTTTTAATAGCTCATTTCTAATAACTGATTTATCTTTGCCATGATGACACTAAATAATATTTTACTAGATATTTTTCAAGACACTTCTATACAGCTAAAGTGACATTTAAAGGCTTAATATATATGTTCATTAGGGTCACTAGACAGGTTAGGGTAATTAGGTAATTTATTGTATAATGATGATGGTTTGTTCTGTAGACTATAAAAGAAATATAGCCTAAAGGGGCTAATAATATTCACCTTAAAATGTTTGTTTTTTTAAACTGATTTTATTTTAGCTAAAATTAAAAACAGATAAAACCTTCTCCAGAAGAAAAGATATTATCAGACATTCTGTGAAAATTTCCCTGCTCTGTTAAACATAATTTGGGTAATGTTTAAAAGAAAATAAAAATCTAAAATAATTCTGACTTCAGATGTGTAGTAGTCAACATTTAAAGTGAATCAAAAAACATTTTTCAAAATTGTTTTAAGAATGAAGGTTGTTCTGTAGTTTAAGGAAAAATTTGATGAAAGGTTTTGATCTACTTCAAAAGTTTACAACTGTATATTAAAATCTAATTTTAGACAGAATTTACTTGAATCATATTGAATCATATTCAAACATTTTAAATAAATGTTATATTTATTGTAAACATAAATCGTATTTTGCTTTAATACATTATTTTAGAATATAAATCAGTGTTTACCCTTTATTTTCCCCTTTTAATTATGTGTATTTTCATTTTTTTTAAAAACATTTTTCCTCAAAAATCAGTCATTATTTTTTCAACCTCCTGTATAAATGCCCCTGACCTAAACTGTTAAGATGTTTATTGGTGGGCATCAAAACAATGAAAGTCTTCACAGATCACATTGTATGCAACGTTTTTATTAGTAGTAATAGCTCCTTAGAAAAATTTTGAAATTGTTTCATATAGACATTGAGTTCAACACATTTTAATTATTATTACTATAAATTATAAAAGTCTAAGTAGCCTGAATAGAAGTCTAAAAGTAACAGATACCCTATAAAAGTATATATATATATATTAGGTGGAGAGTTTATACAAAAACATCTTCCAAGTTTCATTTAGGTGAGTCTGAAGCTGTTTTCTGATCTATGGCGTTCATGGCCGTCTGGACCCACTTATCGTCTGGATTCCTAAAGATATGTGTCTTCGTTGTTGTTACGAACCTAAAGCAGATGAGAATAAAACAATACACATTAACATGAGGACAAGCTCACACAATGTATCTAAAGGGGCAGGAGCTGTGTGTCCAATAATACGACTCCAGTCGATTAAGAGGAATTCTGCTGTTACTGCCTTCAACGCAGCAGTGTGAGACAACGTGCTGACCTGAAACGTAAAATATTCACCAGTAAAATTCAGCCCGTTTTATTTATCCTGCTTTTTAAAATACAGTTAGGCTATGCCAATTTTATGAAGAGACATATTAAAAGTGTTTTAGTTTGTTTAAATTGGACAATCTGGAGCAGCAAACGCTTTTAATCGAGATTTGTTATCAGACTCAACCAGAAGAGGAATCAGGCAGCGCGTAGACATCACCTCACACACTAACAATAATTATGGAGTCTTCATTCTGCAGCTATGAGAAACCACAGGAGAATGCCCGATGCTGCGTCCAAAAATTGCAAACAATCTGTTTTAAACACTATCCGAAAAGTAATTGTGTCCCAAATCGTAGTTTAGGAGTTTCCCAAAGTTACCCGGATGATCCACTGTTTCGTCGTCACTATAAACGTGTTAGTTGGTTAGTTAATCCAATTAGTTAGTTTATCGTTAATCAGTTAACAGCCTACTTAGACACAAATTGAATTTCTAAGAAACAAATTATGCCAACGTTGTGAATGTGACATCAAACAGGAAAAGAAAAGTAGTAAAAATGTTTACTATTTTTCATAACATTAATATTATGTGAAGGAATAATAGGTGTAAAATATTATTTGTTATATATTTAGAAGCAGCATTTATTAAAAATTAAAACAGATTATTTTAAACAAGCTATTTATTA